AGCAGGGAGCAGTCAATCCTTTTAAAAAATAACTACCGGCTTTACGTTCATATATCATGCCGCCACTGATGTAATACGATAAAGAGCCATTGCTCGAAACGTCTAGCTATTTTTAATAGTTATTTAGGACTACGATTACCAAATATTATCTTCTATATATCATTAACATTAAACATGCGTTACATATTTGTTTCAAAGTTTTGATTCAAAATAGCTTATTTTTATTCAATGAATGTTTTGTTAGTAATACGTTTGAGGTTTTTCACAAACTGTAGTTAAGTGTACCAAGTTGCTACTTTTAAATCGATACTTGCTTGTTTTTGGCTATATTGCAATTGATGTACGCTATGGCAATCGCAATATTCAAAACAAATAAAGTTCAATTACCACGATCGTTTCTAATATATTATCACACATTTAGGCTTTAATGGCTTTGTCTAATACATTATCATTTGTGATATGCAAGGTAAATGCTAGATGCTGATGTATAATGATCATTGGCACCAGAAATTCATGTTCCAACACGTGATCGATTCTTTTATTCGCTTTTTTCATTTTGATTGCTAGATGGTAGATATCAAATCACGTCAACTACAACATGATTACCCATGAATTATTAACACTTGCACATTAAGTACTATACATCAGCAACAATTTAACTTTCATTTCGAACTTGTCTTTACGCCTATTAATCATTTTTCATTCTGTAAAACGGCCAACAGAATTGCCATTGCCAATCATTGTCACTTGTGTAATGTAGGTAGAATTTTGCAAAGACCTATTAATTTTAAACTTAGATTGATACCAATGACACGTGTCATGCGTGGAGCAGGGAGCAGTAAATCCTTTTAAAAAAAATACTACCGGCTTTACGTTCATATATCATGCCACCACTGATGTAATACTCTATTATAATACCTATGTATCCGGTTTATTGTATATGTATTGTGGGTTTCTGAATGATTATTTAAATTGATTTTAAAATCAATGTTTTCACCTTTTATGGCTTTCTCCTGGGAATTTCAATTGAAGAAGTTAATTTGCCGTTCTTCAAATTGTCAAAGTTCCGACTCAGTCTAATTTAGGTTTGGCATTGTGCTAAATACGCCAATTACATTAAAACAGCGCGAACACATTGCGTATGTAGATACACCCGTCTAAACCGTCACATACATATTTCCGAACAAAACAACAAATATATTTTTGACAAATTTCAATTTAGGTAGGACACTCAATCGATGGATTCTCGAAATTAACTGATGCTTAACCGGATATTAACCAAATATAACATGGCTCAATGACAAGTAAATCGCAGAAAAGAAAAAAATAAGCTTTATAAAATAAATAATACTTTCAAATGTACTACGAGAAAAAGTTGGTCAGCATTTACGAACCTTGGATTGTGGGAAGGTGAATATGGCACCGTGTTTACGACGAATTATCTATACTGTTGGATGCGCATGTGATGCACACGGATTATTCCACTGCACATATGGGGTCTAACCGAATAAAACGTGAGGATCTCTTTATGGCCGCAAAAAGTCTCTGAGGCGTAGTAACTGCACATTCCACGCAACGTAATCGCCTGCATACATGATAAGACGTTCCACGGTTACCAGACGCAGCTGGGTAATTTATAAAGCTGTAAATGTGTCCGTTGGCAATAACATAATATTCCGCCAATATCTTATACGTTTACAATTCATGTTTAGCGGTGCCAAGCTACCAAACTATGTAGGTAATAATGATAACATTATTGTTTAGAATTACCCCTAATGATTAATGACACCAGGCTAAGACACTACGGTGTGTGAAACATTTGCAAATTTGGTTAATACGTTCACAATATCTAGTATGTTCACAATTTTGAAATATGCATCAAAGTGAACCTAAATCAAATTTTATTCAAGATTATCCCTAAAACACAGGTTATATTTTTGTTTTATTGTGTTACAATCGATGAACACATTCACGCTCTTGTGCGTTGCAGACAAAATGTGGTAATGATTTTCCAATTAGAACGACCTTATTATAGCATTGACGTAAAACTGAGTGAAATTAAGGAAGTTATACTGCTATGGTCTGTTCAACAAAGCAAAACCTTGGAATACTGAACGTAAAAAAAAACATTAAAAATGACTGAAATCGTTAATAAAGTTTAAAATCATGTGTTACTGTTTGGCTGTTCTTTCAACAGATAATAATATAATGACTTTCGAACTGTAGGAGCTAGTTCAGTCTGGATTTCATTATAATATGGCGCGAATTAAGTATAAAATCCCACACATATAAAATGCTTTCTCAGTTGCAATCAATTAGAATGTCGTGAGTGTAGTCTTATGTTTATTGCATACCCTTCCATTAATCCAGGATGATATCTTGAATTTACGGCAATCTTTTTTTTTAGCCGCCAGTTTATGGAGATTTAATTGTGTCACCAGTAGTCTGAACAGTTCATTACGTGATATGTTCTAAGAGGATTTCAAGTTGGAAGTATATGACAAATGATAGTAGATTTTGTATACATTTTACACGTGAAAGGTTGTCACTGATGTTCGTCATGCTAGGCACTGGAATATTAGCATTCATTACGAACCATGTTATTACACGATCAAAAGTAGTTATGACTATCGAATCGTCAATAATGATTTAATGTCAAATTGTAAGCAGCATTTTAGATTGAATTTAAGTTCACAATTGCGATGTACCACCTCTATGTACGATAAGGGTACGATATACAGCACTATGCACTTGCCAAATGATTAACCGGTCTGAAAATGTCAGACACTCTTTCCAACAACTTACTAAGAGTCATTTTAGACAGTGAAATCGTGAAGTATACTCGGCACTCTGTTCTGTGCCTTCACACATTTCCTTTTTCCAGTGGTGTTATCTACCCCCAAAAGCTTCAGCTAACAATATGCCAGTCAGTCAATCAGTTACAATAATAAAGTAACGACAGAATACGCTCATGGCAGCGTCTGTGTATATTCTGCATGAACGTGGTGTTACATAGTAGGTAATATTTAACAAATGCATTTTAAAATTTGTTCAACTTTTGTATCATTGGGTTTAGCTAGTCTTTTAAATTAAACAAGTGCACACTGCAAAGAGGTTGCATGTACTTGTAGAGTTCTCATTCATTAAATACGCTATTTCACAGGTCAGCTCGTTATATACCCATATTTAACTTCTCGAAAACTATGTTGAATTATTCTTATGAAGCATTCGAACTTGTTAGGTCACATAATTATGCAACTATTGCGTCGTAGTCCGCCTCGTATTCTAGCAGTCGACGGTTTATCCCGATATTCACATATCAACTTCATAACCTCACTAAATAAAGCCAGAATATGCCAGTTATATTTCGCTGAACATTCGACGTAACCAGATTTCCAGTTCTTCCTAATTATATGCGCCATGTCTCTCTTGAACAGCCCACTGCATTTACCTAAATCACTCTTGTTAGCAGCTACAACCATCGGTATTTCACCCACACCGCTCGCGTGATAATCCAGTATCTGTTCACGTAAGTCTTTGACGTACTGAAAACTATCAACATTAGAAACATCGAATATAAGAATAAACGCTGCTGCATTCTTTACTTCATCCGAGTAGGATTCAAAGTCCACCCAATCATAATAACTCTTCATTTGAAAATATTGCAGTGGCGGCGTATCGACAATGTTCAGTTCATAAAGATGTTGATTTGCTAGAACAACTGGTGTATATGTTGACGTTACCTTTGTTGGGAAATGCTGGTCTGGAAACGTGCAGTCTTTATACTGTTGTATAATAGCAGTTTTACCCACTGCAGGGGCGCCAAGTATTGCTATATCAATTGTCTGCATAGTAGATAGATGTCACAGTAACACAGTATATTGGCAATACATATGCTCAGTCTTAATAGACTGTTTCACGTTATAGTTCGCGTATAATTAATGATCCATGTATCTTTGATAATGAGCAAGACCTTTATATAATGTTCCGTAAAAATGACTGGTAGACAACAGGTACGAATTTTACAATTGCACCACAGATCTGTTGAACGTTTACCAAGAGCCATCATTCCCCATCACAACATCTTCAAACATATTGGAGTCCCGTCACATATTCGTTGCCGGACAGGCATTGCAATACGATGGCCGCAGCTAAGAGAGATTCCCTGGGTACAGTAGAGAAAAGAAAACGAACGCGACGGTTAAGAGTCGAATGACAGTATAGTATTATCTACAAAGATACTATAATCCCTTTATACGTTCGATTTAAAATTCAACGTATACTCTGAGAACACAAAGCTTCGGTGGGTCATCAAATAACGCCGAGGTTTAATTGGTTTCATGCCTTTATTGACTCGATCTGACAATTCTAATATACAATTTTCAATTTGCAGAGATGAAAGCCGGAACATAATCCGACGATAGACTTTAAATTAGTTTGTATTAAAGGTAACAAGAAGAACAAGTTAAGCTGATATACAAAAATGGACTTTGGTTCACTGGCATAATTAAATCTGTAATCTATTCGGATGCTGTTCATCAGAAAATGATGAAGGGAAAATTGTGCATTCGGGTAGGATCTATAAATCGATATCTTGTTTTGTGCAAATATTCAATTGTCGAGTCTATAACTACATAAGTGGCAATAATGGTAATTAAATTGATATGGTGAAGCATGCAAAGAATATGAAGCACTGCTTTTCATCCCTAATCAATCCACCCTCTGTCAAGAATGACTAGAATTTTCGGCGCCAATGTTAGTCACAATTATTTGTTATTTGCGTGGTGTTGTGGTATTAAACTACGTTTGCTTAATTAATTAATTAATTAGCACAGTAACAATTAAGACTTCTCCGGTACATCTTTCAAACTTATATTTAAATATTTCCCATAATTGATACTCTCCACATCTGAACAGGATTTTAAATTTATGTACATATGAAACACGAACGTATGAATTATTTTGTGCAATTTGATTGCCTTTAAATGAAAAATATATATTATCGGTTTTGAGGACATTTCTTTTGTAATAACAAGTGTGGACGAGAAATAATTACATTATTTAATATGTTCGGGTGGGAATTGTGAATTCGAACGTTATATATTGGGAGACATTGAACTTGACATTATTAGTTGAAGACGTGAGTACGGCTATTATACTGTAATAAGAACGTTAGTAAAATAGCAAAGTTCATGAACATGACATTAATCCTTATCTTGTCAAGTCAATGTGAAAATGCACGAGGCTAGCAGGATAAGGGTTAATGTGTTAATGTTCTGTTTAGGCTCTGGTAGCTTTATGTAAAATCAAAATTAGGACGCATGACTACTTTTAAACAGAACGGGTAGCTAAGAAATAAAAATATATTTTTTTTTATTGTTTCCATTGTCAATAAAGTCTTCCCTGAACTGAAACAAGAACCACTTTTTTTCGAATTCCTTGTTATTGCCAGAATTATGTTTCGAGTCGAATGTGCCGTACAATACGTTTTCATTGTGATTGAATTTAATATTACAAACGATTCTAAATAAACAGTTCGCCTGAAATGCAAAATAGTGTAGATATTACAAACATAACTATTTATGTTGTACTTGGTGATTAGCTTACTCACCACAGAACCAATGCTCATTATGGCTAAGATCGATATATGGCGTATATCAAGATACGTTCTTTGTAGGTTTTACGCTGTTTACATGTAACCTGATGTGATGATAGTATTATGCACGTTCATATACACATCATTTACACAGTAATCTAATGTAATACATTTCACGCATCGATTATTTATCGAGTGTTTCACCGTATACCTGGTCTTCACATGACGCGCTTGCTCTGTCAACTCTTGTTTTATATGACGTCTTATTAGCCAAAAATAGCGCTTTGTTGCCTTTTTACACTAGTGTTTATACACGAAACTTAATACTTTTTTACAATTTCAGTTACTTTTTAAACACATATTTCAGTTAAATATTATTTAGTGAGCAAAATATTAATGGTTATATTTAATTACAATAGTTATAATTAATTATTACAATTTTGTTTGTATTTACGGGTTTTAACACAGGGAGTTGGACAAACTTATGTATTTTAATAAATTATTAAATAATAAATTGTTATATAACTTTTCTTTTACCCCACTTTCTATTATCGATTTCAAGTAATCACTGATTCTTGTTACTTTCCTTTATCACAACTTTGTTACGCGCTAATGTTATATGCAAATGTTAACGCGCGATGTAGACACGCCCTATTATAGTAAAATATCCCAAGGGTTGAAACGCGACTGTGGCATAAAA